ATTCCTTCTAAACTTAAGCGACAATTTTGTTATTGTATGGATACGTGCTATGAATGGCAGTGAGTGCAACTAATCAAAAGGTTTGTATGGCAGTGAGTGCAACTGTTGTTTATTTGCCTCTTTATTTGGTTCTTACAATTCTTGGTAGCCACTAATGACTAAACAAGAAAAAAAACCACCAACCTACTAAGCTGAAGCTAATTTTTTTATCAAGTAGCCGATGATGTTCACCATCATTCAAACTGAATGGTCGACTGAGGCATGTCATTCAGACCACTTACATGTTCTACATTTGGTTGGTTTCAGAGAATGCCTCCTTACTATGTGGTCTTTGAAGAGAAGAAACCTAGGATTTATTTTACATGGTATGAGTGTGCTAAGCAAGTGCTTAGAGAAGAAGAGGCTATCTATTAGAAGTACAACAACTATGATGATGCTCTTAGAGATTTTAATGTAAGGGTACCTCAAGAACCCTTACTGTTATCAATTGATGCCCCTCATGGGGATGCATCAGCATCCCATGAACTGGTGACAGCTCAAGGTTCTGAAATGGGGCTGTTCGTTGGTCTGGTCTGAACCAGCTAGCCAGCTGATCCCCCTCTTATTTCACTGTTCACCAAACCAGCCAACAGTGATTTTCTCTCACAACAATTCAACCGGAACAGTGAATTTCAGCCAAGTTTCAGACCAGCGAACGGGGCCAATCTATCCTCATTCACCTGGGCTGCAAGGCTGTTGCAAAAATGTTGTCATCTTAATCTTGTTTATGGTTGTAGTTGGTCTGTCACTCAAGCTATTCATGTGTCACGGCTGTTGTTTTAATTAGGCCGATGATGACACAATAGGATGACTGCATTAGCTGGCTACATGCCACTTTGATTCATGTACTCTCTTTTCTGTTAACTTGTTGCCCTTCTCGGCTTGCCAAACTACTTAATTCTGCTACTGTTTTTAATTTGCTTCTTTGATTATGCAATGTAGCCGGCAATATATGTGTTGATTAAATGGAATTAGTCTGAGGCCTATGTCTTTTGTACATTTTCATTCAAAGTGTTTGCTTCTCTATTGATTATGCTGTTCTTCCTTCTCTTTGGGCTAGGCCGAGCACAGCAGCTGGCAAACACAATATGTGCTCGGCAGTTGGTGGCGGTTGGCGTTTGAGCCCGACTGAGTATTGGGTCACAAACACCAGCTCGCCTGGGCCGGGCTGAATCGGTACAGGTGCGCAAACAAGCTGCGTTGCAGCAGTTGGGGCAGGCCTGCCCACGCCTGGTCCGTTTGGGCTGGCTAGGCCGTGCTGGTCCAGGTGCGCTAAAGCGCCCTAGGTAACCCAATCGCTCTCCATGCAAGACGCATTGTTTCGCATCTTTTTTCCCCTCTCCCTACTCTCGTCTGCAATCCGGTACAATGCTGTTTAGCACCTCCGCATAGGATGCAGCGTTAACGCCTACTTTGTGCCCGTGCACGGGAGCCACACAACCTACACAGCATGTTCGTTTAGTCGTATTTGGCTTATAAGCTATGACTTATCAGCTAACGAACATTATTTTTTTCTCACATCAAACCAGCCAATCGTATTTGTAGTCATGACTTGTAAGCTACAGTAGCCCGAACGAACAGGCCCACGATACATGAGTTCCGCCCATCCACTCTGCCAAGGCTGCTTTGGCAAGCTCCACCCCGACCGCACAGGCGGGTGGCGTGCTTCTCCCTGGCTGCGACAGGCGATGTACGACCAGGCCGCTCGGCGAGCAGTGCAGTGATCGGTCAGGCAACCTCGGCATCCAGTTTCCCACCATGTGACCTGGTGTTTTGGGTTACCTCAGGCAAGTTTGGTTCTACCGAAGAATAATGGCTCTGGCTCTTCTGGAGGAGTACCTTCTCTGGAGGAGTTCAAGCCGTTCTGGAAAACGTTTGGCAAAACGGCTCCTTCGCACTAGACGACGTGAACCCATAGCAAGGAGCCGCGCGAAGCTCGTTTTTTTAGGCTTCTCCTGCGCTGACAAAAAATGGCTCCGGCTCTTGACTGGCTCCCTATGTGGAGCCCTTTCTAAAAACAAGTGTTTGGCACAACTCCTGCAGGGGCTTCGGGAGCCCTGCCAAAGAGGCTCTTTACCTCAGCTCGCCTAGCAAGAAAGTGATTAGAATGATTGAGATCTTGTTTAGTTTCTCCCCTAAAGTTTACTTCCTATCCTATCGAATGTTTGACATATGCATAGAGTATTAAATATAGACTAAAAAAATAGCTAATTATATAGTTTGCGACTAATTTGCGAGACGAATCTTTTAAGCCTAATCAGTCGATGATTTGACAATGTGGTGCTACAGTAACACATGGATTCTGTATTTTTTTAATTTTTTTATTAGTATTCGAACACCTCATATGATATCTTCGTATAACACCCGATATAGCACCCTAAAACTTTACGCCCAGAATTTAAAAAGACCTGAACGAGCCGTTTGGTTTCTTAAGGCCCTCCACGGCGTGAGGCTAGAGTGGTGCTTGCAGAGGAGAAAGAGACTTTGGCAATCGCTCCTTCCCACTGTAGCAAGTGATTGCAACTTTCCCGGGTGCAAGAAAAACAAGGAGCAGGGGAGCTACTTGCTCCGATGCCCAGACAATAGAATAGAATTTCGTGTGTACTTCTCTGACTGATGTAGAGTACTAGTTGGGTTTAGCTAGTGGGTTAGGCTGTGTTTAGTTAGAGTAAAAGTTGGAATTTGAGTACTGTAGCACTTTCGTTTTTATTTGGTAAATAGTGTTCAATCATAGACTAATTAAGCTCAAAATGTTCGTCTCGCAATTTCCCACCAAACTGTGTAATTAATTTTTTTTATCTATATTTAATGCTCCATGCATATATCGCAAGATTCGATGTAGTGGATACTGTAGCACTTTTTAAGAACTTTTTTTTAACTAAACACGCACTTGTGTATTTCTTTTATCTCCCATATGGGTCCCACCAGTGATGCTACACGCTGCAAGAACTGAAAGAACGCTCCCGGTGGCGGTGGGGTTCGGTTTTTGTTTGCTATACTTTCACACTGTACTCCACTGCCACGATATTCGTGCAAGCGAGTTTTTTCCTTACTATTTTGGGAGAACCGAATTGGCTCTCCTGTCTCCTCATTGGGCAAGACAAGTCTCGCCTGGATAAGCAAGGCCAAGCAAAGCTGGTCAGACATCTCATGGATCACCTGGGTTAGCAGTTGTGCCAATCCAAAACTAAAAATCTGTTTTAGGTACCGCAGGTAAGCCACTCCTTAACCCAATCGTGAGTTCTGATGGGGTGCCTTCCAAAATTTGCCAAACTGAAGAATTAGTATGTCATGATTTTAGCTATTGATTGGTTTGCTACCAAAACTTACCAACCTTTCATGTTCGGCTTGCTAAATCCATAACAAAAATTTTACCTAATTTTGACTTGCCAAATCCTAGTGATGGCTAATTTTGACCACAAACCAATCAGACCCTTACCCACCTGGCCACCTGCATCGCTGAGCAACCGAATGACGGAGCACTGAACGTGACAGCCAATTGTTTGGTGACAGCTCAGTTGTGCATCATACTCAGTACTTTTCGCTTGTCTTATAAGTCGTATTTCTTCAACAAAAAAATAATATTTTTTTCTCACAATAAATCAGCCAAGTGTCTTCTGGCGAAGCCAACAGCCAATTTCTTGGAGCTGGGGCTTTTACATTTTTACCATTATAAAGATTGTCACTCATCTGAATATCACTCTTAGGATGACACTTACAACTTTACCAGATGAGAGAAATTTTAGTTTTAGATTTACCACTTTTTGCGTATGTGGCATGCCACGCTAGCTCGACACGCTGGCGCCTAGTCAGCATGAGCATGTGAAATGTCGTTGCTACCCCTGCCTTGCTCCTCTCTCTCCATCCCCGACAGCTAGGTCCCAGACTTTTATCCTTTGCCAGTGGGGCCCTCTCTCTCGGCACTTCTTTCCAGCTCCAAAGACTGGATGGGAGAGGACCAGACAGCCACGCTCCTCCGTCCAAGCGTAGAGAGCACCACCGGCACCGCTTCGCCATGGCGAGCTCCATCGCCCAGGCGCTTGGATGTGGCACGCACCACAGCTCGGCAGGCCTTCACGCCCGGCTCATGGCGGGCAATTGCTCCCCCATCTGAGCTCCCAGTGGTGAGCCACCACCTCGGCCTCCTCTCTCAGCCTTTCATGGCCATGCAGCAGGCTGCTTTGCTCGCAGACGTCTTGCACCGACGAGGCAGCAGGGGCTACTCGCGCCCATGCCAGGCGAGGCAGCATGGCGGAGTTCCTTCTTGCCTGCTGCGCGAGGCTGTGGTAGAGCTGCTGCTTTCATGCGCCTCCTCCTCGGCTTCCTCACGCTGCGTCTTTGCTCGAAACTCCGTCCGATCAAGCCCCCCACGCAGCCCACGCCTCCTCCTCCGCTAAGCATTGCGTCTTTGCTCCATCCTCCGTCCTCTTGCCCACGGGATCGAAAAGTAGCAACCATGGGGAACCGGCCACGAGCTGGAAGACAAAGCTGACTAGTGGGGGCCCACCTGGCAGTGACAGGTGTTGCGGGACCCGGCTGTCGGAGATGGAGAGAGGAGCAAGGCAGGGGTAGCAAGGACATTTCACGTGCCCATGCTAACTAGGCGTCAGCGTGTTGAACTGGCGTGGCATGCCATATGCGTAAAAGTGGTAAATTTAAAAGTAAAACTTCTTTCATCTGGTAAAGTTGTAAGTGTCATAGATGACTGCCAAATCCTTGTAATGATAAAAATGTAAAAGTCCGCCCAGCCGTACCGTGAGAATTGATTCCAACGAGGCAACGACAAAGCTAGGCACATCACGACAATGACATTGCTCTGAGAGCGGAGAGGATCCTGAATCCTGATCAAATACTCTACCGCCTGCGGCTGCAGATGCAGATCCAAAGAAGGATAGCCTTTCTTCCGGTCCAGCCACTCCAGTGCACGCCCCGCCGCGCAGTTTGCTATAGGTGCCCGGGCAATGGATTCCAGTTCCAGCAGCAGAGTGATCGCCTTCGATTGCAGCTCCTTCCGACTATACATGGACGGCCAAGTCGAACGTGCTGCCCAGCGCATGGAAACCGTGCCCGCCGGCTTCGACGCGGACACGGGCGTGGCATCCAAAGACGTCGTCATCGACGGCGCCACCGGCACTACCGTGCGGCTCTACCTACCACCTGTCCAGGGAGACACGACGACGAAGCTCCCGATCGTCGTCTTCTTCCACGGCGGCTACTTCATCGTCGGCTCAGCCGGCGAACCTATGTACCATCGCTACGTCAACTTGCTGGTCGCCAGAGCACGCGTCGTCGCTGTCTCCGTCGACTACCGCCTCGCTCCAGAGCACCCGCTCCCGGCAGCCTACGACGACTCCTGGGCCGCGCTCAAGTGGGCGGTCTCCGGCGCGGACCCGTGGCTGTCCGACCACGGCGACCTCGGCCGTGTCTTCCTGGTCGGCGTCAGCGCCGGCGGTAACATCGTCCACAACATGGCCGTCTCCGTGGGCGTGAGCGGTTTGCCAGCCGCTGAGCCGCCGCGCGTAGAAGGCGTGGTCCTGCTCCACCCTTCCTTCTCCGGCGAAAAGAAGATGGAGGTAGAAGAAGGGGAGTTCTGGCGAGCTAACAATAACAGGTGGGCGGTCATCTTCCCGGGCGCGACGGGCGGGGCGGACGATCCAAGGATTAACCCGATGGCGGCCGGCGCGCCGAGCCTGGAGAAGCTAGTGGGTGAGAGGCTGCTCGTCGGCACGGCGTCTTTGGACCCGAGGGCGCCGAGGGGGCCGGCATACTGCGAGGCCGTGCGGGCCAGCGGGTGGCGCGGGAAGGTGGAGTGGTTCGAGACAGAAGGTGAGGGCCACGGTTTCTTCGTCCTCAACCCCGGCAGCCACAAGGCGGTTGAGGTTATGGATCGAGTGGTTGCTTTCCTTGCGGACCAGTGACCCTAACCTCAGGGCACAGCAAGATCTAGCCGCTCGCCGCAAAGTCGGTGGCTTAGCTCCGGCGCAGTCGTTGACTAGATTGTGGCCGAGCCGATCCGGGTGTCTGTACTCCAAAGTCCCAAGAGCTTCCTAGATTAGTTCTTGGAATAAACACTGCCGTCATTCCACACCATTCAGAGTAAGGATGAAAACGGAACGAAAATATCCTGAAACGAGAACCGCATCGTTTTCTATATTTAATCCGATCGAATCCGTATTTTTTTATCCGACTTTACCGTTTTCGCTTTCACATTTGAGGTATTTCGTATTTCAAATGTAAAAGTAGAAAATGATTTACATATTTTTCGACCGTTTCTACTTTTCTACTTTTAATTTGAAATATTCCGAATTTAAAATTCGATTTAAACCGAATTTGGCCAACTGCTCAAGTCATACAGCCCAATTACAGACTGCTCACCACGCAGCTGCGTTATTTCTATTGATGGCTAGCTGCCCTCTCTTATAGATGGCGCCCAGCCTCATCTCTCTTATTATGTATTTGGTCGTGCACTTGTTTAATGCTATACACTTGAACTAGATCATGCACTTGTTAGTTGTGAACTTGTTATGTATTTGGTTATGCACTTGTTTAATGCTATGCACTGTTGGTCGGTATTTCGTATTAAATTTTCACATACCGACCGTGTTCGACACAATTCCGCTCGAATTGGTTCGTTTCCGAAATTCTAGATATTCCGTAAGTTCGTGTTCGTTTTCGTGTCCGACTTGTCCGCTTTCGCTTTCGTATTTCAAATGTAAAAGTAGAAAACGGTTGAGGAGTTTTTCGACCGAGTTGGACCGTTTTCATCCTTAATTCAGAGGTGTGGGATTTGGACATTTGGTTATGCTGTGGTGCAATTATATACATAAAAAATTTGTTAATTGGGCGCCAAGAACGAGCTTAGCTGCCAAGCTATGACAATAAACATAGTATTATGGACATGAATATACAGACAGCAGCAGAGAGCAAACGGCTGGACAAGGATCGAGAGAGCAAACTTCTTGTTTGGACCACGATAGGATCTCCAAAACAACTATTGCTGTTTGTATCGCAGTCCAAACAAGAACTATGGAACTGAAAAGAGTATAAGCTTAAAAAACATGAAAGGTACCAGGGAATAAAAACAATTATTGGTTCTCAAGCACAAGTTGGAGTCACACTGCCCAAAATTGTTTGAAATGACCAATCAAGATGAATGCCAAAACAAACTTATCAACTAATAACAATAACAACTCTCGCTGAAATAAGCACAAGAAATGTGCGCTATGAGCCAATAAGCCTGCTTATGAAGTTTCTTCACAAGTTCCATAACCATCAGCAGCGTAGAAAAGAGTTTGAAACCCACCTTGCATATGTGAAATCAAAATTAAAAACTTATGCTAACCGAATATCAAAATGTCTAGGGCCTTTTTAGATTGCCAAGGACTAGTTGTTAGTTCAAATAAAAAATTAGTCGCCTAAAGTTTAGACAACTAAAGTTTATTTGAGTGGTGTTTGGATCCCAAAACTGAAAGTTTATGGACACCTATTAGTCCCATTTAAGTGGATTGCGCAACTAATGGACTAGTTGTTAGTTGAGGACTGGACTAAAGTATAATCCACCCATAGTCTATATGCTTGGATGAACTAGGACTACTTTGTAAGTTGTTAGTCCAAGCGATCCAAACAGGCACCTAGTTGTAGCAGGCATGTAGTATAAAATAGAGCAGTGCAGCTATCAGATCCCATACACAAGAACTTTTCATCTAAGAAGATTCCATACTGAAACTGAATTAAGGTGAAGAACGGTATTGTTGGTTTCTAAATAAGTTACTAAAATCCATCACTACAAGTTGGCATGTTGCAAAAAAGGGATACAAGGTAGCTATTAGCTAAGTTCATTATTCGGCCTGCTCGGCTGCATTTTTTGCGGCGTTGGTGCTGCAGCTGTTGCTGTGAAATTCTGTACAACAAACTAACAAAAGGTGATGCACAGGAATAGATGAAGCCACAGCCACAGGAAAAATTGCATATGGTAGAAACAGAATACGAGGTACTATGTCATGGCCGTGTGCTAACTCCACCCATTCACCCCCAAAAGGAGAAAGGAAAAATCCTAAGATTCAATGGTAAAACCAAGCAGCTTGGAAACATAACAGCAAATGTAAGCACAACGAACCATCATAACAAAAATATTGCCCATACAAGATACAAGCTAACAATATTCTCTTTTTTACTTTGGTTCTCATGCAATATCTCATAAGAAATTTGCAGCATAACTAGGCAAGTTCAATAACACTAATTACAACAGAGGGAAGGAAACACAAACAGGTAAAGCACACATGACATAGGAGATTAGTTGATCCAGAAATCATTACTCAACCATCCGTAGTAGCAAATGGATCATGCGAAGGTCCCACATCGTGGCCAATGGTTCTCTGCACCAAGCGCTGCAAGTCAGCCATAACCTTGTGCTCCCGCTTCGCCTTCTCCTCGTAGTTAAACATGGCCAACGCCCTCTTATCCTCAGCACTGTAAACCTGGTTTTCCTTCCTGATACGGATAGCATTCATCCTTTGGTGCCTACTGCCACTCATCACATACCCCAAATCCTCGAACTTCGAAATCTCTTCTGCAGACAGACCAACTTCACCACGTCGTGGGATACGCTTCCCTTGCTGAATATACTGTGCAATAGCATCACCTTCTCCAGGCCTCAAAGCACCACCATAACTAATATGTCCTTCCGCGCGTGGAAGTGGCATTGGACCAACAGGCATATCATTCTCTAAGGCAGCCTTTTTCTGGGCCTCAAGCATTTCCTTGAACTTGATTGCTTCTGGATCAATTTCCTGAACTTTTGTTTCTTCAACTTCTTTTACATCATCAGGGGTGGCATCAGAAGGGACTGATTCTTCGGAATCGGATCGCTTGCTACGCCTCCTCTTCGAGCTCTTACTCTTTTTCTTACTATCCTCCTCCACTTCCTCCTCAGAGCTTTGCTCGGAGGCTGTATCCTGGCTCCTCCTCTTCTTCCTCCTGGAGCTCCTGCCCCTCTTTTTAGATCTATTATGCCTACGCGACCTCTTTTTGCTCCTATCCCTAGAATCCTCCGAATCATAAGAGCCCACAGAATCATCGTCGCTCTCGCTATCATCCTCAATCTCAGAATTGTATGGGCGGTGGCGATGGCGCCGGCGGCTGCGGCTGCGCTTGCTACTACGGCGACTGTTCTTCCTCCCTTTCTTATTCCTCTTAGAAGCTTCGGATTCGCTGGACTCGGACAGGCTATCAGACTCACCGGATTCAGACTCCGACTTATCCTTGCTCTCCTCCTCGCTAGCCTCCGGCGAGCCCTTCGGAGATACCTTATTCTCCTCTTCCACGTCGCTGTAACCGTAGTTCTCCTCATCGCCCTCAACACGAGGCGGGCTGGGCGTGATGTTCCAGATGCACCGCTTCTTGCTCTTGCGGAGCTTCTGGCGCTTCAGGCGGCGGTAATCGAAGTAGCTGAGGCCCTGGAGTTCCTTGTCGTCGTCTTCTTCGTCAGACCAGGCGTCCCCGCCGCTACGGACGGGCAGGACCCGGTCACGGTCCCGGCCGCGGTCGTTGTGGTAGGGCGACCACTGGCGGCGGCGGTCGCGGTAGGGGCTCGGGGAGCGGCCGCGGCGCTCGTGGTAAGGGCTCGGGGAGTGGTCACGGCGGCGGTTTCGATAAGGGCTTGGGGAGCGATCGCGGTAAGGGATCGGGGAGCGGTCGCGGCGGCGGCGGTCACGGCGCGGGGATGGGGACTGCGAGCGGCGGCGCGGGGATGGCGAGGCGGAGACCCTGGAACGACCGGGGAGGCGCACCACGGCGGAGGCGAGGCGGCGCTCCGAGCGGTGGGACATGGCGGCGGCGGATCGGCGGATTGGGGTGGTGGGATTTGGGTGGTGACCCGACGACGCAAGGGTTTGCGTCGGGGATTCGGATTGGAGGCCTGGAGGGGAAGGGAGGCGAGGTTTTTTCGGAGGAAACAGGAGGAGTCGGTTAGAAATGGTAGTTATTATTGGGCTTTATGGGCCTTATGAAGGCCTGTTGGGTGGGCTTTGAATTTTTTCTTTCTCAGGGGTGGGCTCTTTTTTTTAACAAGAGTTTTACTATGCTTTTTTGTTATAAGAACGCAAAGTCTATCAGGCGACCGGTCGCGCTCCCACTGCAGTGCGCGACACTAGGCCGCGACGGCCCGGCCCAGCAGACCCCATCTCCCCCACGTTGCGGCCTTCCCTTCCCGAGCTCCCAACGCTTCTTCTCCCTTTTCGTTCAGGCGATGAATCCGGTGTTGCTGTCGGAACCCTAGCCGGCGAGCGGTGGTGGGGGTACGCTGCAGCGGGCGACGACGGAGCAAGGGCTCCCCTCTCTCCGCCGCGCGTCCAGATCGTTGCTTCTTCTGCATCTGCCCCGACGTGAGAAGCCCCAAGGCGAGCGGCAAGTGGGTTGTGTACTCGTTCGGTGTGCTGCTGCTAGACCTGGTGGCCGGGCGCGCTCTGACGAGCCTGGAGCTGTGCCAGTGCGCGGCGGAGGAGAAGGCACAGGCGCTCCAGGTGATGGAAGGGCGGGAGGAGGCGGTGGCGAGCTGCCTCCGGCTGGGCGCCGCGTGCTGCGCCATGGCGCCGAGCAAGATGTCGTCCATCAGAGACGCGTTGCAGGCCACGGAGAGGATGCCTGATCTAGCTGCTGCTGTGGCTGCTTCCTGCTCGTCGTCCTCAGCATCCACGACAGCACACCATCATCAGTGAAAAGAAAAACACATCTTTGCATCGGTTGCGATTGTGATCCGTGCAATCAAAATTTTAGCTTATAATTATTAGCTTCTAAGCATGCCCTGTTCCCATTAATTTTTTCAGTTTTTAGTTGTGTTCGCTTTCAGTTTCAGTTAGCTTTCATTTTGCTTTGATTTTTTAGCTTATAGTTATTAGAGGGTAATATGATTGTGCTTGCTGCTTGCAATTGTTCAACTGGGGAATGGTAGTTTCTGGTAGCTATTTTAGTGTTTAATTTTTCCAGTTTTCCTGTTAGTTGTATGATTTTTGTTAGCTTTCAATTTTAGTTTCCTTAAAGTAGTTTCTGGTAGCTATTTCAGTGTTTAATTTTTCTAGTTTTCCTGTTAGTTGTATGATTTTTGTTAGCTTTCAATTTTAGTTTCCTTTCGGTATTTTTTCAGTTTTTAGCTTCTAATTATTAATTTCTATGTATGTTCTTGTTATATGCAGTTTCAGTTTTCTTTCAATCTTTTATTTCAATCTTTTATTTCTATTTTTCATTTTAGTATGCATGGTACTAGGGTAATATGATCGTGCTTGGCAGCTTGCAATTGTTCAATTGGGGAAGGTTAACTCGCCGAAGAATTTGAACCGTAGGCCATAAATGAAGGATGGCAGTTTGACAATACCATTCCCACTGTGTGCCCCCTAACTGTACTAGATTCTAGATTTAGTTTTTTAATCCTTTGTCTCTTTTTTTGTTTTATTTTTTCTTTTATTCAGTGTTATAATGGAAGCAATAAGCAATATCGGTAACTTAATGAATCTATCCGAATGAACGTCACCCTTAGATAGAGCCGATAGCTTGACCTTAATTTAGTTTGAGCAGTGAAGGTCGACCGGATCGATGTAGCCGTACTTGAACTAGACAAGAGTCGATAACTAGCTTATACCAGAGTCGCAGTGGAGGTCGACTGGATCGATGCAGCTGTACAAACAGAAGTATAAGTCATGACGGTACTTACAGATAAGCAGTGGAGGTCGACCAGATCGATGCAGTCGTACTTGCTGAAGAACTCGCCAAGATCTACTCTATTCCTACTCCTAAGGGGTGGCCGGAGCTGAAAAAGTAAGTAACTTGTATTTGATTGATTGTGTGTCATTTACAATAACCGGGGTTTGATATTTATATCCGGAGCCTAAATATGAATTCTACTTGAGCACGACTCATTACAATTTTCGGCATAGAAGAAAACATTCATAATTTAAGATAACTTGGACCATAATCTTTCTCTTTTTGTAGAGTCCGATATGTAGTTTTCTGGCGTCAACCGTAGTTCATCATCGCTATCTGCTGACGTCATTCAATGAGATCCGATCTCAGAGTCGTATCTGAATCAGCTGATATCGATCCTCATGCAATTGATTCCTTGATGGGCATGATTTTTGAAGCCTTCGAATTTCTACGTTCTTCTCTCTAAATTTTGGTGTAAACACATGTCCCCCAATTTCTGAATATGTGGTTGGAGAGATTCATCTTCTGTGGGTCATCTTGTGGTCCGACTTATAATCACAAACTCATGGCAGAGCATCTAGCAGTAGGTAAGGACTTCCCTCTTGGAAAGTATCTGTTAAGAGCTGCTTATCATCTGATGTACTAGGTAGTCGCACAATTATTGAAGAATGAACCAGTGCATATCATCAGTGGACCTTGGTGGTTGATACAAATGTGGCTCAACCTGTATATGCAAGGCTTGATCTCAGAAGCCTGAGTTTTCCTTCCTCCAATTTTGATGAGGAATATAGAGGTGAAGAAGAAAGAACTCGGTAGTGCATGAGCTATGGTGAGGCTGTATCGGCCATAATAATTGATTTTGACATTGGTCATCTCTTCAAAAAGTTTTACAGGGGGTTTGATGTAGGCATCCTGACTTGGTTACCATACTTTGATGATGAAAATGATGAGTTGACCTTCCCATTCAAGTTTCGATTTGAGTCAGGCTGTTCGGACGAGGCGGCGGCTGCAATTTTTAATTCCTTCATCAAGCCTTGTGTTCTCTCCACCGAATTTTGTCATGGCCGTGGCAAAATGGCTACGGGCTTCTCCCTTCCAAGCAACCTCCCGACTTATGAGTTCTACAATCCATCTTTCGTAGCCTGTCAGTTTGGCTTTGGCCAACTCCCCCCTCAATTGTTCTTCAGAAACATATTGAAACTAAGAGAAGACATCAGTGAGGTGATGGAAGCCTCCAGAGTGTTTCAATTGGGATCTGACCTTCCTTCCCTTTGCGTGCACGACTGGATCAGAGTCAACTCCTCTTCTACTCTCTTTGACTCTTGGTGGCAAGAATGGCACTCCCATCTTTTCTATGAGTTGGTCCATCCTTTGTGTATATCCCTGGATGGAGAATTTGTTTCTGACGGAGAGGTAACTTGCCATTTCTTTTCAAGAAAACTGTTCGATGAATTCCTCTGCCAACCGTTCTAATTGACCTTTTCGGGATGCTGAATTTGATCCTCCGAGCTTGGATAGGAAGGGGCGTCCCATAGATTACCAACTACCGTGCCCAGTTACAAGAATGGGATCGGCTGCCCCTTCACTAAAGAAGTTGATGAAAACTCATGCTGCCTCCACTATCGTGACATATCAATCTTCAAAGCGCAAGGCAGCTCATGGGACAACCCAGAAAACCACTAGTGGGAAGAGACTCGGCAGAATGAGACCATGAGCTGCTCAGGTAAACAATTTATCTTTTTCTTAAAAAGGTTATTCAACCGCTGATCCCGTTCTTTCATAGCTATCGAGCATTGCGTCCCAACCTGCTCTAGGTGCGGGACTGCTATCCCAGGCGTTTGACTCAGCGTCAACTGAACCCCCATCGACTGATCCTCAAGAGGAGCCAATTTTGGTTGAAATAACCGATGCTTCCATAACAACAGAAAATGTGAGTTTTCCTTGATGCTTGTCAGAGCATTTTCTTTAACTTTTAATCTATTCGGCTTCCATTCTTCATCTAACTTTTTATCATGCCTGATACTTCCTGAGAAAACACCCACGCAAGAGCAGGAGCCTGATATTCCATTTAAGGATCCTGCCAACGTCGAAGGTGATCATGTTGATTCCCTAGCTCAGCATGCAACTGATGGTAAGAAAGTTAAACGTCCCCTTTATTCTTCTGTAATAATTATGAACAAAAATTTGACATTGCAGATACCAATGTTGAAAGCTCGGAGCTGATTCAACCGAGCAGAGGTCCGGCGTATCCCTAGTCGAAAAAGGAGGTCAGAGTTGGACTTTGTCCCCACCTTGGCCAGGCCTTTCGGTCGGGGACCGGATCGTTCTCCTATCCTATCATTAGGTATCTGGGCCTGCCCGGGAGGCACACGTTGTCGCTACGCCATCTACAGGGTCGAGTTTTTGCTAGGAAGTAGGCCCATTGGGGACCCTGGGTTTATGAACCCGACTGGAGCCCTCGAGCCCTTTTGGTACTTTTGTGAGGTCGTGAAGGGGTTGTTTACACTCGTTTCACGAGCGCACCCTATGGGTGTAAGATCGTGGGTCGTCGTCGGGCGAGACAAAGTGCGAGACGGAGCGCCAACCCAAGTGTTGGGCGTAGCCGAGGGGTCAGGCGAGACGAAGCGCCAACCCAAGTGTCGGGCGCGGCTGAGGGGTCGGGCGAGACGGAGCGCCAACCCAAGGTGTCGGGCATGGCCAAAGGGTCAGGCGAGACGGAGCACCAACCTAAAGTGTCAGGCGCGATCGAAGGGTTGGGCAAGACGGAGCGCTAACCCAAAGTGTCGGGCGCGGCCGAGGGGTCGGGCGAGAAGGAGCGCCAACCCAAGTGTCGGGCGTGGCCGAAGGGTCGGACGAGACGGAGCGCCAACCCAAGTGTCAGGCGTGGCCAAGGGATCGAGCAAGACAGAGCGCCAACCCAAGTGTCGGGCGCGGCCGAGGGGTCAGGCCAGATGGAGCGCCAACCCAAGTGTCGGGTGCGGTCGAGACGGAGCGCCAACCCAAGGTGTCGGGCACGGCCGAAGGGTCAGGCGAGACGGAGCGCCAATCCAATGTGTCGGGCGTGGCCAAGGGGTCGATCTAGTTTTGTGCGGTACCCCATCCGTGGTTTCTGCAACCAGAGGGGTTGAGCAAACGTCGCTTGCCTCGATGGCTCGAGTGACGTGCTCGGTGAGCTTAATAACGGGTACGTCCGAGTGGAATCCAGATCTGTCATTCGTAACGGGGTCAGCATAGCCCTCATGTGGTATTCCACTGCTCCTTAACCCACCTCCCGGCAGATGCCCGAGCCATTCCAGAGACCGACTTGGGTGGCCCGCTGGCCTCCCCTCGATGGAGATTCTATGGGCATGGCTCGAGGTCAGGATCGAACAAGAAGGTCGAGATGACCCTATCCTCTTCTAAGTAGATCGGGCGAGGGCTACTGGGGCTCATCTACGTTTTCCCCTAGCTCTGTTTGATGCGAGGTGGCCTCGAGCCCTTTGCGAGTCGGCCTTCAAACCTCGGTCGGTCGTCGCTTATATCAAATGAGGCGACTACCGCTTCGTGACGCAACAGGAAGTATTGTGATGCAACAACTGCATATGCAATGCTTGGATGTATGGGATGAATGTATGGATGAATTTATGAATCTATGTATGAGAATGTATGAATAATGATTATGCACTATAAAACAAAAAAGGGGGTTTGGTAAGGTTACCTCGATGGCTCGAGTGATGGGTCTAGGGAGCTCCTATCGGATATGTCCAAATGGGATATGTGTCCGTCGTTCGTGATGGGGTCAGCATAACCCGCATGAGGCATCCCGCTGCTCCTTACCTATCTCTCGACAGCCACCCGAGCCATCCGATCGACTCGGGTAACCCGTTGGCCTCTCCTTGATGGAGATTCCGT